CGCGAATGGCTCATTGACCAGACGCAGTGGGCGGGTCCGTGCACAGGACCGTGGTTCCGGCCAGCGATCAGCAACGTTGTGAGGAGATAAAGGACGGGGGAGGTCCCGTGGGTGCCAGACCTTGGCGCGTGAGAGTGCAATGAGGGGTTGCCATTGTGGCTCAAAACTTAAGCCGTGAAGCTCTCTTGAGGCGCCACAGCCAGCGCAGCCTGAGCATGGGGCCTGGCGCTGAGAGCGCGGCCGTCTGCGAGGTCGTGGAGGGCAGAAACGACGGCGCTGAGGAGCCCCCTGAGGCGACGACGACGGCGACGGCGACGACGACGACGACGACGACGGCGACACGGCAACGACGACGACGACGACGACGACGGCGGCGACGGCTTCCATCAGGCCAAGCGGCCGAAGCTGAGCGGGCAGCTGGACCGGTTCGGCAGGCTCGTGCCCGAGGTAGCGCGGCGCCGCTCTGGGCGGCCGCCGCTGTCTCGGGCGCGGGCTGAGGTGCTGAGCGGACAGGGCGAGGATCGGGGAAATGGTGAACGACTGAAGAAATAAGCACAAAGACCGACCGCACATTTGGTTGTTTTGAACAGAAGTCGCAGTCGGCGTCGTTGCAAACTGCGCCACTTCGACACTGGAGGCAGCCCGCCCAACTGCGGCCGCCGTTGGTTCGGGACAACAAGCGCAGTTGTGACCATTTTTCCCGCGCCCAGCTCATGCGCCCCAAGAAACGGCCGCGGTGCCCGAGACATCTTCCGGAACCGCTGGGCCACAGAGGTTCCATATCTATTTCCGCTCGAATGTATCTTCGCCCTGGCTTCACCTCAGAGGAGGTCATGGGGGCGGTGGGCAAGCGCGAGGCAAGCCAGAGCTCGGCGAATGCAGAACTACTCGAGCCCACCAGCGAGCAGGAGAAACCCGTGGAAAGCGCCAGCCCAGGGCCGACCTTTCCTGCGATGAGCGCGGAATTTTTTCCCGCGATGGGCGCGAAGAGGGGGGCGGCGAGACGTCGCAAATGAGCGAGGAGCCAGGCGCCTGAGAAGAGCCAGTTAGCTGGGCCGAGAGCGCGCCGCCTTCAGGCGAGTGCGGCGCGAGCGAAGGCAGGCCCGCGACACCGAAGCCTGTCGCGTCGACTCCAAGTCTCGAGCGCCCGCCCATGAGCACCGTTGCTGACGCAGCGAAGCCGTGCGCGAAGAGCAAGCGTCGCGAGGTCGGGCGTCGCTCGAAACGCCCCATGCGCGCCCGCATTGAGAAGTTGCCGAAAGATGCGCAAGACAGGGAGCAAGTGCCGAGAGCGATCAAAGAGCGCACTGGCAAGCAGACGACGCGGGCGCGGGGCGCCTGGGAACTCCGCGCCACGTGGAACGAGACCGTCGACAGAGCCGAGGTCGGAATTGCGAGTCGCGGTTCGCTTCTGGCGCCGGGCCGCGGGGCGAGGAAGAACAGGGGGGCGCGGGCCAGCGCGGGGAAGAGGGCCAAGAGAGGCGGCCGAAAGCACGAGGGCGCGAAGGCACGGCTGGACAAAGAGCGCTCGCACGGGCGTTTCGTGGACCAGGCTGACTTGCGTTTGGAGCTCGAAGCCAGGACTGAGCCCCCCGCCCAAGCCTGCGACGCCAGAGCGAGGGCGGGAGAGAAGCTGGGCGCCAGGGGGGGAATCAGACTGCGGCCCATGAGAGAGCACTCGAAGCCACCTCGCCCGAGAACCCGCAGTCCACGAAGAACCGCGCGCCCGATTCTTGGACACTTTCGTGGATGAGCGGCGCCGAGACTGGAAGTCGCCCTGGGTGTCTCGGCGAGGGGGCGCCCCAGAAGGTCAGCAGGGATAATTACTAGGCGCAGGTGATCTTCGAGGTGGGGCGTTCGGCTGCGCGGGCGGCCTGGGCTTCGTCGCGCCGGGCCCAGCCGCGCCGGGCGGCTTGCTGCGGGGCCCCCGGGGGAGCTCGCAGGGTTCGGAAGGGATCTACGCCGTTGTGCTGGAGGGCCAGGTGGTCATCACCAACCTGCCGCAGCCGCGGGAGGACGTGGATTTCTGGGCCAGTTGGTGATGCAACAAAGTTTTCTGGCGAGCTACGCGGAGGGATTTATTCGCCGTTGCACAGAAGCTGGAGCTGGTCGACAAACGGTGGGACGAGGAACCGCGGGGTGCTCAGGCACGCCTGCGACGGGGGCGGCCACGCGTCGAGCGCGCCCCGCGGCAGGCGATGCCGATCGGAGCGGGCTGGGTGGACGAGAGGAGGTGGCGCGAGCTGTTTCGTGGACGATAGGGGGCGGGGGGGCACAACAACGCGCTCGAGCTCATGTGCGCGGTCAGCGCGTTGCGTCACTTGGCACGTTCGTCTCGCCGCTGGCGGAAGCGCATCGCGATCATGACCGACTCGGCGGTCTCCATGGGGGTGCCGCAGAAGGTGGGGTCGTCAGCTACGGCGTCGTCGAGGCTAGCTCGGGCGGCGCCGGCATCGCGCTGCTCTTTGGCATCAGGGGCCACTGCCGCCGGGCGCCCAGTCGGCGGAATATGGCAGGCGGACCGAGTCGCGGGGTCGACATCGGAGCGTGGAGGAGGCGAAGCACGCACACAGGATGAGACTGGCCCCGAAGTCGGTCTGGCCGCTCTTGAAGCTGGTGGCTCAGCCAGCACGGCGGGGCGCCACGAGGCGATTCCATGGTGGATCGTCGCGCGGGTGACGCGGTGGGCGGCGGAGGGGGCGCGACGGAGACAGCAAACACCACCGCTGCTGAAGCACGGGGGCTCGCGCTTTGGAGCAGGCTAAGAAGGAGACGCCGCGCTGGAACAACCGCCCAGTCGCCCAAGCGGTGGAGGCCTCTACCAACGTAGACTAGGAGCGGGAGGTGCGCGTGCTCCTGAGTGATTGCAAGCGAAATGGTTTTCGGACCGATTGAGGAGAGGGACAGCGCGCCGGGCATCGACATCAGCGGCCCGCGCTACCTACGCGGAACATCTTCACGAGAGCATCGCAGTCGAGGACCATCGTGTAAAATGGCCGACATCCTTGCGAGGGCGCAGGCCGCGGGAGCGAATGCCATTCGGAGGCGAAGGCCACCCGATCCCTTGCCAGGCAATGGCCATCATAGTGAGGACGATGCAGGCAGGCCATATTCTGGAAGCGGTTGCGTGCATTTTGCAGCTCGGCGGCTGGCTACGCGAGCAAGAGTGGGGATGTTGCGAGTGCGGCATGTCGCATGTCAGCGCCACACCAGATGGACGCGTTGGCCTGCGAATGGGCGACCGTTCCGTCGCACGGAAGACGGAGACAACCACGGGGCCGCCTTCGAGTGGGAGGTGTCTCGGGTCATCCTGCAGGTCTTGGCGCGGGGCCGTGAGCCCGTGGATCAAGTTTTCCGTTTTGCGCAGGCTGCCTTTTGTAAGGTGCGGAGCCAGACTTGGATGCGGACGGGCCCTAAGAAGATGAGACCGCCGCATGGCATGCGCCACGCGGCGGCCGCGAGATGTTCAGCGCTGGGCGGCGGCCACGAAGCGGCGCGCTGCCGTGGAAGACGGGCTACCACGTCAGCGTGTCAGCGCCTATACCCAGTGCGACTTGCCGCGGAGAAGTTATCGGAGCTAGATGCCCGACAGATCGACCAAGGCACCAGTTGTTGGCGACGGCCAGCGCAGGCTGCGCATGATGTTGTCACGGCGAGCCCTGGAGCAGGGACACCGCTACGCGAGCGCTTGTTGGCCGCTCTCAAGGGCGGCCGCAGACGCGAGCAGTTTGTTCCCATGTTCGGGGTTGCCTAATACCCTTCCCCCCTTCTCTCCCCACCTTGAGAGCGAATGGTCATGCAAGGGCCTTTGTCTGGAAGGGGAGGGGTCCGGGGAGGGGGGGGCCTTGGGGCTGCGGCGCCTCGCACACCCCCCGCCCGCCCTGTGCGTTTTGCCCGCGCTCGGCTTGTCCTGTTTGATTTGAGGGGCTTTTGGCCCGTGGACCTGATCATCTGGACGCCCGAGATGGGCACGGAAAGAATGGATACGATGCCTAACAGCAGTTCTTGTTCATTCTGAACAGGACTCGCTGTCCACGCCGCCGCGGCCTCTGTCCATTCGAGACAGAAGGCCGCCTGCCCAACAGCGGCCGCTGTTGGTTTGGGACAACATTTGCTGTTGGGCATTGTACCCATTCTTTCGGTGCCCATTTCGGGCGTCCAAAGATCAGGTTCAGCTGGGAGTGGTCGAACATGTTCTGGTGCTCCTTGGGCCTAGCGGTTCGGGGGCACAGGGTGCTGCAGCTCAGGAAGCATGCTGCGGGTGCGACATGGCACGATGCACCGTTGATTTCTCGAAGCTCACTGGGGCTGAGTTCCCTTCAGTGCCCCCTCTTGTGGAAAACGTGGGCGAACATCGTCACGCGTTGTGAATATACCAAGCGCTGCGCGCTCGGTCTGTGCTGATATAGTCCTAGGCATTGCTGGCATCCTTCCTGCCCTCCACAAGGGTGTTCTACCCCTTTCGAATATTGGTTTTGAGTAGATGGCATGTGTAAAGAAGGGTCCGAGAGTACTTGGGACCCGCGTCGCGAAATAATCGTAACGTCAGATGCATTCCGTTTGAAGAGTCCCGATTAAATCCGCGGTGACAGAAGCCAAAGCCCACACCATCACAACGGACATCCCGCCTCCTCCTCCTCCTCCTCCTCCTCCTCCTCCTCCTCCCTCCCTCCCTCCCTCCCTCCCTCCTTTCCTCCCTTCCTTCCTTCCTTCCTTTTCCTGTTTCTGTTCTCCCTCTTCCTTCCCCCTTTCCTGTTCGAGGAAGAGGAGGAGGGAGGCCCAAGGGAGATGAGGAGCAGCAGCCAAATTATGAGCAGGGCGCTGATTAGAGTCGCAGGCGCTGCTCCAGAACAAGTTGGGCCACAGTCGGGCCAGATCGATCGTATTTCCGAGGCTCGACTTACGTCTCGTCCCCACGCTTCCCAGGTCTCTTGGAGTGGCGCCTGGGGTCTCTGGGCAGCGCGCCTGTTACAGAGCCGTTCTGGCCTCAAGGCGGCCCAATGTCGGGGATCTGCTCCCCCCCTGCATTGTCGGCGCGGCCACTGGCCGCCGCGCGCCCGCTGCTTGGCCTGCCGGCACGCCCGCTCGGAGCCCGAAGCCTCCATGCGGCGTCTCCCGGAACGTCCACTGCGCGGGCAGCAGTGGCTGCCGCTGCAGCCGCCGGGGCCGGGGCGGCGATCCCGCGGGGCCGCCGGCGGCGGGCGCCCGTGGTGGCCGCCCGCGCCACCATGGGAGAGGCCGTGCGAGCACTCGAGCTGGAAGACATGGCAGAGCGGCAGGCCTACCTGCACCAGGGGCGGGGCGTGCGGGACTTGCCAGGGACGGAGCTCGCTGGCGTCAGCTTCACCGGCAGCCTGAAGGAGTGGATCCTGGCGCAGGAGGAGGCCTGCGGCAGGCCCTTCAAGCCGACCAAGATACAGCAGTTCGCCATGAGTCGGATCTACGAGGGCGAGTGCGTGGTGCTGCAGTCGCCCACGGGCACCGGCAAGACGCTGGCGTACCTGCTGCCGCTCCTGCAGAGGCTGCAGGACGAGCCCCGCGAGATGCCGGCGTCGCAGCTCCGGCTGCTGGTCCTGGTGCCGACGGCCGACCTGCAGGTCCAGGTGACGGCGGCCATCCGGTCGCTGGTCGGTCCAGGGAGGAGCGCGGCGGTCGGCGCCCTGAGGAGAGACGTGGACGGTGCTGCGATCGGCAGCGAGGCCCGAGGAGTAAAAGCCTGCAGGGGCATGCAGTGGAGGCCCATGGCAAGAAGCACCCCGCTTGCCTCCCGGGTGCCCCCGGTTGCCTGGGTGTCGATGGCTCTGCCATGGAAAGTGTGACGCTCCCATGACCAAAAATCGATGGACGTCCTGGGGGTTTAGGGTTGGGTTTCTTGTGGGAGGTTTCTTGTGGACTGGTCTCCACTGTAAGCCTTCGGCGGTCCGCGCAGATGCCTCGGATCTGCGCTGGGCCCCCCCGGCGGCGCGCCTCGGGTGCCGCCCCCTGGCGTGCTCTGCGCGCCAGGGACGGAGGCCCAGCGCAGATCCAAGGCACCCGCGCGGACCGCCGGAAGTTTGTGTTGATGCCGTTTTCGGGGCTCGAGAGACGGGGCTCGTTTTCGAGCCAGAGCGCCCGAGCTTATAGGATCCTGCAGGGCCGGGGTCGCACTGGCCCGGGTCTGGGTGCAGGATTCTGCAGCATTTTGCATGATCCTTCGCACTGACCCGGGCTTGGGTGCAGGATCCTGCAGGATTCTGCAAGGCCCGACTGACCTGGGTCTGGATTGACCCGGGTCAGCAGATCACCGACGTTTTGTTTCTCTACTTGTGTTTATAGGGGAATGAACAATGATACATATATATATATATATATAAACACAAATAAACATGTATACATATATTGTGTTTAACAACAAAAAACTCGGACGGCCGCGCGGATTTCTCGGATCGGCGCTGGACCCCTTCCCTGGCGCGCGGAGCGTTCCAGGGGCGGCGCCGAAGGCGCCGCCAGGGGGCCTCAGCGCGGATCCGATAAATCCGCGCGGACCTCCGAGTTGTTATGTCTATGTCATTGTTCGTTGCCCTCGTTATGTCGATGTTTTTCTCTGCCTCCTGGAGGCGGGGTCCAGGTTTGCCGTGCCCTACGCGGTCGCCGTGGCCACGCCGAAGCTGGTCCTGGAGCTCATGGAACACCCCTCCAGAGGCCAGGCCTGGCGCAACGCCGTCTCCCAGATCGACGCCCTCGTCGTGGACGAGGCCGACGCCTTCAAGAGGCAGCGGAGATACGAGCGCAGGCAGTCGGCCACGTACAGAAGGGGGCCCCCTCAAAAACAAGGCGAGCAAAACGAGGGGAAGGAGGCCCCCTCAGGCCCGCCTCGCCGCTAGGCCCTACTTCCTCGATACACGCCAGCGCCAGGAGGCGCCGGGAGCAGTCACGCGCGCCGATTCGCCCGCCAACCCCCTTTTTCCCTTCGCCCGACACGGAAGAAGAGGAGGAGGAGGAGGAGGAGGAGGAGGAGGAGCGAATGGGGTGCGATAGCTGCCGGATAGCTCCTCGGAGAGCTAAGAGGGTTTCAGATTAAGACGCCAGAGCCGCAGGATAGCCCGGGAGGTCGTTCTGGCTTCCGGCAGGACACCTCGGCGCGAGTCGCTTGAAGTTGCAACGTGTCCCGAGAGACCGTTTCTTAGCGCTTCCCAATACGCGTGCCCGGAAACTCTTCAGACGGTCCTTCGGAAGCTCTCTCCAGGTCATTCCAGAGTTCTTCGACAGGACTTTCCGCGCCCATCTGGCGTCCTGCTATCCGGGTTTGGGACTCCACAAGTTTCGCGTCGTGTCGACCAGCGGCGACCCCGCCGCGGGCGTTCAACGTGGAGCGCCGCCGGCGACCCAGAATCGGTCGATGTCGAACGATCGGACGTTTGGGAAACGGCCGATCGTTCAAGGATGAACGATCCCCGCTGTGTCAGGAACCAACGCCGGGGTCGACACGACACGAACCTGCCGCAGCGGGTGGGGGGAAGGCTTCTTAGAAGCACCCTGCTTCTTAGAGGGCGCGGGTCTCATCTGCAGATGTAAGGCCGGCGCCTTCGAAGAAGCAGAAGCAGCCTCCTTCTAAGAAGCTTTCCCCCTCCCCCTGCCCCCTTTGTGCGCGCGGCCAAGGCAGATGTACCTCAAGGGGGACATGGAGCCCTGCACGAGGCTCATGCAGAACATTCGGAATTGGACCGCGCGGGCGGGCAGGGGCGATCAGTGGCAGCTGGTCGCCTCGAGCGCCACCGTGAACAGACAGGTGGACCGCTCCCTCCGTTTCGACTCGGGCATTGACCTCTCGTACATCCGCGCGTCTGGGGGTGCAGGCGAAGAGGAGGTGCAGAGCCCAGAAATCAGGACTCTGCAAACCAGGACTCTGCCAGATCCAGCGGGAGAAGCCGAATAAGGCAAAACATGTTTCGACCCAGCTGCAGGTTTCTCGGATGCGCCAAGGTCCTGGTTTGCAAGAGTCCCCGCTTACGGGGCCTCGATAGGCGCTGCCCAGAATGGGGAAGCCTGGAGAGTCAAAAGATGGAACGTTGTTTCCAAAGGGACTCCAGCACACCATGCGGATAGTCGACGAGTGGAACTTCGCCACGGTCCTCGGGGCTGTGCGCAAGACTGTCCGTGAGCTCGACGCAAACAGGGTCCTGATAGTTATCGCGGGTGAAACTGCCGACCGTCCAGACATGACGATCGGCCTCAACCCCGCAGTAGCTTATTCAACCGCTTCGCGCACTCCGCTGGCCCATATCGCGTCACCGTCGCAGCATGTACGTGCTCGTGTGGCGATGAGGAAGCTGCTGGGGTGCGTTGCAACTCCACCGAACAGTCGTGCGACGATCGCGTGAGGGAAGCAGCAACCTGGCATCGCTCGGACGTGTGCATTTTTTTCTCGGCGAGGACCCTGGAGGAGCATCCTGGACCATCGAGCAAACAAAAAACCACGCACGAACTCGAAACATGCACAGGAAATGGACGTCCGAGCGACGGCAAGGCAACCGCTGCGCAAATGGAGGCCCACACGGAACAGGACACGCTCCCACCCAAGCTTCACCAAGCCCGAAAGCAACACTTCTTCCCTCGGCGGCGAGGCAGCAGAGCTGCACCGCGATCGGGGCGGCCGAAGCGCGAGGTGGCCAGCGTGCGGGAGGGGAGGGACAAGACAGACAGGGCGGCCGCGGAGGACGGGGCACTCCGACGCGGAACGGTTCCACACGGAGCGCGCCGGCGCGGCCAGGAAGCCCGGAAACACGAAACGTCAGGCATCATGGGGTTGGGGAGACGCTCACATCATGCTGGGCCCGCTCGTAGGCTTTCGGATCCTCCGAGTCTCTGGGCCGCTCCTGAGGGCTTCCTTGGCGCCTCTTTGATGTTTCTCGGGGGATGGTTTGGACCAAATCGGGCCACCTTGGGGCTGCAGTCGGGGCCCTAAAGAAGGAACCCTTTTCTTTGGGGAGGGGCTCCGCGTTCCTTAAGTGTTTCACAGCTTCCCTCAGGTTTTCCTTATGCTTTCGATCGGAAATCGAAGTTTAACTTATGGGAAAAAGGGGCCTCGTTCCTTAGTTTGGGTTCCTTAGGTCAACGCCCCGACTGTATCTGGGGACCTCTTGGGCTTGTTTGGGGGCCATCGTGGGGCCCTGCCACCCCTCGATCCCCGTTCTTTCGCCGTCCCAGGGCCCTCCCTGGGCCCTTCCTGGAGCTCTCTTGGAGCGCCTCCAGGGCGCGCTTGGAGATCTGTGGAGCAGTCTGCTCCTCCGTTCTCCTCCTCGTGGCCTCGGGCGATCTGGGAGTGGCGGTCTAGAGAAAGGCCCAGGCGCCCGTTTGGAGTGCGACCTGGAGGCGTCCTGGGGCCCGGCTGGGATGCATCCTGGGGCCCGTTCAGGTAGCCGCTTGGCGGCTTCTCTCAGGAGGGAAAAAAACACACAGACACAATTAATCGTCGATTTCCCTGAAAATATGGGAAGTGGTGGGGAAGACAAAAACCAAGAAAATATAGGAAAATATGGGGAATCGTTTTATTTGTGTGTATTTATTTGTGTGTCCCAGTTTCCCTTCATTCTCAGGTCGCGCACGGGAGTTCCAGCATGCCACGGAAGATCTGACCAGGATTGGAATCCATTGCCCCTCTGTTACGCGGCAGTCGTACAGGAGGGGGTACAGAGGACAGAGCGTTGACACAGTTTGGGGGAATTCGTGAATTCAGTCTGGGTCGGGCTTGAAGTGCCTCGAAGAGATCGCGCGCACCCGACTCGCAACCATATGGCTATATAGGTCCTGGTCACCAGGATTTGACCGAGGCATTCTCCTCTCGGGGCAGGGGCAGCGACACGCGCGCGCGAACTGTGGAAGGCAGAACTGCCGAGAGCGCACCAGAGTTTCTAGCACTCCGACGGCCTGCCGGGCAGGCGATTCCGAGGTGCTTCGTGTTCTCCGCCCGCCCACTTTACTTTCACAGTGGTTTCGAGAGGGCGGGGTGTTCAGTTGCTCTGTGCTTTGGGGGCATAACCGCAGCAGCAGCAGCAGCAGTAACAACAACAACAACAACAACAACAACAACAATTACTAGCACGTGGGGACACACCGTTCTCACCAGTGCCAGGGTTTTCATAGGAGGCGGGCAATACCCCCACTTTGTGGGGGGGCCGGTTCAAGCTCTACCAAATTTCCAAACGACTCTTCGCCACCACCCACACCCAGCTTCCCGCCCTATGACGTTCGGACACTTCACTTCGTGGCATGCGGACGACCGTGGCTACTATTCAGGGCCCCGCGGCCGACGACGACGGCGTGCGCGCGCGAAGAAAAAACGAATGTGTCCCGCATGGTATTATTTGACAGGGATGATGGCCCTGGCAGGTGCGCAACCGTTGTCGCAGAAGTTCGAAAAAGTTGCTCGCAAAAGCCCGTTTGACAGAAATGTTTAAAAAGTGTTGGGTTTCCTACGAATCCGCAAGAGCGCGCGGGATGAGATTTTGACATTTTTTTGTTGAAAAACCATTGGTTTTTTGATGTTTTTATGTTAAAATCGCTCCGAACACTAAGCTTTTGGAAGGATTTCGTCTTGCGCGCGCGAATGTCCACTTTACCTTATTTTTTGCAAGGGATTCTTGAAATTTGATTATATTAGAACAAGAAATGTCATTTTATAGTGTTTTTTGCAAGGGAAAGCGGGGGGGAACAAAACAACCGGATCTTGATCACATCGAATTACCTGAGGCTTCCTCACGAAAATGATGAAAATGTAGCTGCGGCCTAGGCGGCGCAGGGGGGCCGTGCACCAGGGGCCCAACAATAATTATTCTTTAGAATTAATAATGTTCAACAACAATCACTTTACCCGAACGCTCAGTGTTCTCACCAGTGCCAGGGTTTTCATGCGACGCCAGCCAATACCCCCACTTTGTGGGGGGGCAGTGCAAGCTCTACCAAATATCCACACGACTCTTCGCCACCACCCACACCCAGCTTCCCGCCCTATGACGTTCGGACACTTCACTTCGTGGCCTGCGGACGACCGTGGCTACTACACTGGCGTGGAGTACACACCCACAGAAGTTGTTAAGCCTACGTTCGTACACCCACAGAAGTTCCTTAAGCCCTTGTTAACCCACAGAAGTTGTTAAGCCTTCCACAGAACATCCGAGGGCGCAACCTATGGCGCAACCGCAAGGGATTGTGGCCCCTGGCAGGCGCGCGAACCCCGTTGCAAGAGCGTGCGAAAGTAGCTCGCGCGAGCTCATGTAACATAAATGTTGGAAAACCATTGGTTTTTTTAGGATTCGGACAGCGCGCGCGGGTAGAAATTTTGAAAAGTCGTGCAGGTGTTTTTCGAGGACCTACGGTGCGATTCGTGTGATTTTATGATGCGCGGTGCTAAAATTCTTAAGAAGCCCAATGGTTTTTGGAGATTTCGGCGTGCGCGCGCGAAGAAAAAACGAATGTGTCCCGCATGGTATTATTTGACAGGGATGATGGCCCTGGCAGGTGCGCAACCGTTGTCGCAGAAGTTCGAAAAAGTTGCTCGCAAAAGCCCGTTTGACAGAAATGTTTAAAAAGTGTTGGGTTTCCTACGAATCCGCAAGAGCGCGCGGGATGAGATTTTGACATTTTTTTGTTGAAAAACCATTGGTTTTTTGATGTTTTTATGTTAAAATCGCTCCGAACACTAAGCTTTTGGAAGGATTTCGTCTTGCGCGCGCGAATGTCCACTTTACCTTATTTTTTGCAAGGGATTCTTGAAATTTGATTATATTAGAACAAGAAATGTCATTTTATAGTGTTTTTTGCAAGGGAAAACGGATTACAACAAAACAACCGGATCTTGATCACATCGTTTACCTGAGGCTTCCTCACGAAAATGATGAAAATGTAGCTGCGGCCTAGGCGGCGCAGGGGGGCCGTGCACCAGGGGGCCCAACAATAATTATTCTTTAGAATTAATAATGTTCAACAACAATTACTAGCACGTGGGGACACTCCGTTCTCACCAGTGCCAGGGTTTTCATAGGAGGCGGGCAATACCCCCACTTTGTGGGGGGGCCGGTTCAAGCTCTACCAAATTTCCAAACGACTCTTCGCCACCACCCACACCCAGCTTCCCGCCCTATGACGTTCGGACACTTCACTTCGTGGCATGCGGACGACCGTGGCTACTATTCAGGGCCCCGCGGCCGACGACGACGGCGTGCGCGCGCGAAGAAAAAACGAATGTGTCCCGCATGGTATTATTTGACAGGGATGATGGCCCTGGCAGGTGCGCAACCGTTGTTGCAGAAGTTCGAAAAAGTTGCTCGCAAAAGCCCGTTTGACAGAAATGTTTAAAAAGTGTTGGGTTTCCTACGAATCCGCAAGAGCGCGCGGGATGAAATTTTGACATCTTTTTTTGAAAAGCCATTGGTTTTTTTATGTTTTTATTTAAAAATTGCTACGAAAACTAAGGTTTTGGAAGGATTTCGTCTTGCGCGCGCGAATGTCCACTTTACCTTTTTTTTTGCAAGGGGTTCTTGAAGTTTGATTATGTTAGAACAAGAAATGTCCACTTTACCTTATTTTTTGCAAGGGAAAGCGGGGGACAACAAAACAACCGGATCTGGATCACATCGTTTTGCCTGAGGCTTCCTCACGAAAATGATGAAAACGTGGCTGCGGCCTAGGCGCGGCGGGGGGGGCGCGCACCAGGGGTCCCAACAATAATTATTCTTAAGAAGAAATAATGTTCAACAACAACAACAACAACAACAACAATCATTTTACCCGAACGCGTGGTGTTCTCCCCAGTGCCAGGGTTTTCATACGACACCAGACAATACCCCCACTTCGTGGGGGGGCATTACAAGCTCTACCAAATATCCAAACGACTCTTCGCGACCACCCAAACCCAGCTTCCCGCCCTATGACGTTGGGACACTTCACTTCGTGGCCTGCGGACGACCGTGGCTACTACACTGGCGTGGGTACACACCCACAGAAGTTGTTAGGACAGCGCGCGCGGGTAGAAATTTTGAAAAGTCGTGCAGGTGTTTTTCGAGGACCTACGGTGCGATTCGTGTGATTTTATGATGCGCGGTGCTAAAATTCTTAAGAAGCCCAATGGTTTTTGGAGATTTCGGCGTGCGCGCGCGAAGAAAAAACGAATGTGTCCCGCATGGTATTATTTGACAGGGATGATGGCCCTGGCAGGTGCGCAACCGTTGTCGCAGAAGTTCGAAAAAGTTGCTCGCAAAAGCCCGTTT